TGCCGCTAGAAACGTCAACGACGTCATTACAAGCGTCAGGCGTTGGGTGTACTAGTATTGTAGCGGTTTGCGCCGCTCATTAACCGACAAGTGAAAAGCAAACGTAATAAGTCAGTACAGGAATGTGCTGCTGCAGTTAGATATCCAGCGAGCGAGCAATAGCAAGTAGTAGGATGGACGGCGGGCGGAAAGCGTTGGTGAACGTTGCGCCGCAATGAATGGCGTAATATTCATAACAATTATAATAATGAATTATTTTTATTTTTTCTGCTACTGTTTTCTGTTGTTGTTTGCCATTTTAATATTTTTTCCACTGTTTTATATAAATATATTTTTAACTCAGCGCATGGGGCGGCTAGCTGGCAGGCGAGTGTTCGCTTAGTTGCTTGTTTAAAGTTTCATCCGCGTGTCTGCTGGTTAGTAGCTTTTCTCCAGCCTTTAGTGGCGCACTTGGCCAACGGATACTAGCGGTTCCGAAAATCACAAGCGAAATAATATCGTAAAATCTATGTTTTTCAAATCATACGGCCTTAATTTCAGTAAATTTTTGCTTTCCAAGTGAATAGAAAGTCAGCGCATGTGTTTACCGTTACGCTATTGCGGTATCTGCATGCTTCAGCAGCGGCATAACGGTTTCAATTCAAAAATTCCTGCATCCGTTTTCTTTTTATTCGTGCGCGGTCGTTTGAGGCGTGGCAAGAATGTGTTAAACAAGTTGTTTTTAATTAAAGCATTTATATTATGTGGACTATACGAGACGCCAGAAAAGTTTGAGGTGAGGTCTATAAAATCTACTCTTACTTTCGGTATGTTTTGAGTTAATAAACCAATGCCTTACAAAGTATATAATGTTTAGCTTTCATTAGCTTTTACAAATTTTTTTTTTGACTCGATATTGTGAGCATGCGATTGTGATTCTACTCATCAGGATTGCCAAGTACCGGCTTTAACATATGCCTTCGAAGTCTGTGGTACATCATTATTCGATACGAGTAATGAGATTCTAAGCACGGCTAAGGCGAAGTTGGGAGACAATCTCAGCTTCTTCCTTGACAAGTTTTTCGTACAAAGTTTCATTAGCTTTTCACAAAATATGTTTTTGACTCAAGATTGTAAGCATGATATTGTGATTCTGCTAAACAGGATTGAAAAGTGACCGGCTTTAAAATATGTAGCCACAATCAGTGGTATGCCATCATTCAGTATGAGTAAAGGTTCTAAACCCGGCTAAGACGAAGTTGGGAGACAATCTCAGCTTCTTCCTTGACAAGTGTTTCGTACAATAAACCATAGATTGTTCGACTTCAACTTTAGCCACTAACTGGATTAAAACTTTTAGGATTCTCCTTGAGTAGATAACGACGGTTAATAAGAGTAGAAGATATTATTAGTCAGCTCACAAACCACAACTTGGATAAGAGGCCCAATGACAGGCTTGACACGAGTTGAGCGCTATATTATAGGTATGTGTAATATAGAAGCAGAAGTGAGTTCATCTTTTTATGAAAGTTTTTTGTTTTTAATTTTTAAGCAATAAAAATATAAAAATAAACAAGTTTTTATGTGTAGCGAGAATATTTATACTAGCAGCATTATTTTGGTGCGCTGCGAGTCTGTAAATATACACGTCTGCGAGGTACTTGAAGCAACGCAATTCTATAGATATGTTTATACATTTTTCCGGAGTACTTAAGTATTTCGAAACAACAAATTGTTAACACCGCGCCAACGCCGCTGTCATCACCACTGGGTGTTGTATACAAACCGCCGAGTGGTTTTGCGTCACTATTCTTGTTTGTTTTAGATTGCGCAGAGCGCGGAGAGCATGCCGCATGGAAATGTGCTTTGCAAAAAAAGAACCCTGAGTTTGTTTGCGCAGACTGGGCTTGGTAACCGAGTGACATGTGACAGGCGCTGTGGAATTCCCAAGACTTTTAAAATGATGTAAAATCAGAAGAAGTTACAGAGTGTTGTTGTAGAGTGTTTTTTTTCATACCCGCAAGCAGTGGTCGAGCTGTTGTGACGTAAGTGTGCCGTGCGCTTAGACAAGCTATTTTCACAGCTGAAATGTGAATGCTAATCAACTGGCACATATATTAACTAGCATATTTTATTTACTCTTCTATTTATTTGCACAACCCAACATAAACAAGCGCTAATTTGTTTAATTTTTTCGCATTCTCGTTCCAGGTAAATATGAAAATCCTTGACGGCTCATTGCGAAAATTGACGCTGCCGAAAAATCCGCCACAACACTTGCGTAAGTACACTGACCGCCTCACTGGCTGTGTGCGCCTGTGCACCGTCGCCCGCTGCCTGGGCGTTCGAGCATTTGCACACATTACAGTCAATTTAGTTTACTGATATTTTTAACGACGCGCCGCAAACTCTCGACACAATTGAAGTCAATTTGCACAATTCATAAGCGCCAACAGCAAAAGTATATTTCGCCGATGCGTTGTTGTTGCGGCTTGGCTGTTATCAATTTGTGCACGCCTTGCTGGTGTGGCAATTCATGCGTTTCGGTGCTGCGAACACATTTTACGTCGTTCCCAGGCGCGACGAGTGCGCACAAAGACAATACAACCACTAATTTAATAAATTTACTGGACGGTGAAAAAACGCCAAATATTGGGTATAGAAATGCAAAGGAGTCTATTTTTATGCCGATTGCGATCAGGCGGCCAGGTCGTGATATTCGTTTTTTCTTGTTCAACGCTTCGAGATGTCTGAACAGCAGCGCGTCGGGGACGAAAAATATTAAAGAAAAAATTACCGTTTTATTAAGAAAGAAGGACAGAAAGGAGCGTCAGAGAGAGAGAGAGACATAGAGAGAGAAAGGCTGAAACTAAGAAAAAGAGAAAGAGAGAGCTGCTGCCCTGTTGCTTAGGAATATTTGATATATACGGTTCGCAGCATCTGTTCAATAAGATTTGCTTTAACTAGACAACATTACCGCAGAAATCAAGTTTTAGTGAAATTGTCTCCTCAACTTATTATAACTAGCGCTTTTAGTTGACAGCTGGTCGCGCGCTAAATCCTCTCTTATAAAAGCATTTCGCTTTCCAGCGCTGTCCATAAAGCGGCGCCATAAGTCAAAGCAAAATTGTGCCCGAATACTTCAGCCGCCCGCCGTACCTATTAGCTTTAGACATATAACCGCCAACTGACCAACTACTCAGCAAACAAGTCAATTTAATCAACTCAACTCTTAATCATTGCCGTCTTTACATTCTGCCTGCTTGCAGTACCCAATCACAAACTAATCAAGACTAATCTGTATGAGTGTGCTTTTTCATTTGCATAAATTTACAAAGTTGTTGCGACAAGTTGTTTGCAGCTACCAGCGCGAGCGCTGGCTGACCATTGCTCAAGTGTCAAAAGTGCAGTTATACATATGTAGGCGCTATCGCGCCCGTAAGCGGCCTAGTTCCGCGCGATTTGCATGCGGTTGCAAGCTATTTGCGCAGGCAACACCTCACCTCCATGGCCTGTGAGAATTGACTGTTGTTGTTAGTTGTACATTTGACTGGCGCATTCGCTGTTGCATGCCAATTAATTGGCTAATTGGTTATTGCCTCTCTTAATTTCTGTTGCCAGGTGGCAGGTGACACATAAAGCGACAGGTGGTCGCGCTTAGCGCTCAACTTTGCAACAGACGCTTGGAATTCCGTAGCTTTTGCGCAGAGTGGACAGTTCAAGCAGATATTGAATATCTAACCGTTCACGCGCCTCACTTGGCAACGGTATCGCGTTCTTTTCCCAATAGACGAGAATTCGATATGATGGCCTCGCTTGGTGTGCGCTATTCGATGACGCAGGCACTTATGGCGTTGGCCTTGCTGTGGCACACGGGTTCACTTGTTGAAAATTAATATATATAAATGAAGAAAGTGTTTATGCGCGCGCACATCTGCGAGGCACATTAGTAATGACAGCGCAGTTTTTAATTAAAATAAATGACGCGGCAGCGGCCTAGTCACGTATTGTTGCGGTGACATTTATGTGAGTAGATGAGCGATAACAACGCGCTACAGCGGTAATTAGCACAAGCTTTAGATTGCAAACGCGCTTGGAGTACGTGCCGACGCTTATACTGCTAATTTTTCCTTAATTTTCACTGTTTTTTGTTGAAGTTTTGCAAAGACGCTGTGGCGGCCGCTAATTGTTATTGACGTCAGCGTGCGCGTAAAAGTGGAAGTGCCCGACGTGCGGCAACACTGTGCGTTTATCAGCACAGCCACATCTCTATGCCACTGGTGCTGTAGGTAATATGTTTGCGCTCATGTTTTGCATGAGTATGCGTGCATATTGCAGCGTCGCGCTTTGTTTACAGACGGCTTACGCAGTCTTCTTGTTCACACTCTCATTCAGTTGCTGCTGGCCTCGGCCTGATAGCGCCGTCGCATTTGTTTTGGCAATTAACATAGTCGCACAGACGCGCACTGAAGACATACACACTCCATTTGCACTTAAGCAATTATCGGATTGGAAAATAGGCAGTAAAGTAACGCGCGTAGACGTGTAACAAAATACAAAACTACTTGAATGCACGAAATTTGGCGAAGTAATATAACGCCACTACGTATTTATCGATGCGAGTTGTAAGGAACTATTTTCGGTATGTACAAGTCGATTTGCTACGATTGATCGCGTGCGCGTAGCTGACTTAATTACCAAACATGCAGATGACGGCCCAATAGAGGCGCGCTAGGCATTAAGTTGTTATCGCCAAAATTACCAAGCGCTTACGAATTCGGTCGGTGCTGGTCCAGCGCGCCCAATTAGGATTGTTGCTGCCGCAAATAAGCGATCTGCGCCTACATATTTGTCAGCGCTTTTAAACAGCTGAGTGATGTATTGCGTGTTTAGCACGCGCAGATATGCGAATATCATGTTAGACATTCGTGCGGCGCCGTGGTGTGCTCAGCGCTCCATCTCACCTTTGTAGAGTTAATCAGCACTTGCTAAGTTTAATCGTTCTCTCTTCTCATTGACAGCCTTCTGGTTGGCGCAAGCTACGCAACATTGTGCAATGGACGCCATTTTTCCAAACCTACAAGAAACAGCGCTATCCCTGGGTCCAACTGGCCGGTCATCAAGGCAATTTCAAGGCCGGTCCCGAACAGGGCACCGTCCTAAAGAAGCTCTGTCCAAAAGAGGAGGATTGCTTTCGTGTGCTCATGAAGGATGTTCTGCGCCCCTATGTACCGGAGTATAAGGGACAAGTGACCAGTGAGGATGGCGAATGTAAGTGCAGTATGTACGAATAATCCATAAATATAACTAACTGTTACATGAATTCAATTGAATTTCAATTTGAAGCACTCATTGGTCTGATGAAGAATATATATCTCTCTTTCATAGTATACTTGCAACTGCAGGACTTGCTGAGCGATTTTAATCAGCCCTGTGTTATGGACTGCAAGGTCGGTGTGCGCACATATCTCGAGGAAGAGCTCTCCAAGGCCAAGGAGAAGCCGAAGCTACGCAAGGATATGTATGAGAAAATGATACAGATTGATCCGGATGCACCCAGTGAGGAGGAGCACAAAGCGAAGGGTGTAACCAAGCCACGTTACATGGTCTGGCGCGAGACGATCTCCAGCACAGCGACACTGGGCTTTCGCATTGAGGTGAGCGAGACTGCTGCTGCGCTAAGCATTCTCTCGAGTACTCAATCAAAAAATTTTCACTTGCAGGGTATTAAGAAAAGCGACGGCACTAGCACTAAGGATTTCAAGACCACGAAGTCTCGCCAGCAAATCAAGCAAGCCTTTCGCGAGTTCGTCAATGGTTTTCAACATGCTATGGTGAGTTTTGTAAACTAAAATAGCTCACTTTCTGAATAGCTTTCTGAATTCGAAAGTCTACTTGTGTCATAGCAAAAGTGAACATAAGCTTTGATATCGTTTGAATTATAAGTGTATTACTTTAACATTAGACTGCTGAATAATCCATGCATAACATTGTTCTTACTCTTTTGTGCCTTACAGCCCCGTTACATTCACCGTCTGCAAGCCATTCGCGCCACACTCGAATGCTCCGACTTCTTTCAGACACACGAAGTTATTGGTAGTTCGTTGCTGTTCGTGCACGACCACTATCACGCCAGCGTATGGCTAATTGATTTTGCCAAGACCGTCGGCTTGCCCGAAAACCAAAAAATCGACCACAGTAGCACATGGACGGTGGGCAACCATGAGGACGGCTATCTGATTGGCATCAATAATTTAATCGAGATTTTCACCGAACTCGATGCGGAAATGGCGCTTGAAACTTCGCTTACACCATCGTCGGCCTCTTCGTCGGCTTCGTTGTCGCCGAAACGCAATTTGAGCGAATCGGCACTTGACGACACAGCGTCCGGCAGCATGTTGAGGGAAGGCGAAGTGGTATTGGAAATGATTAAGCCAGCAAAGGTGGCTACAGTCGCAGATACGCAGCCGACGCACATTTTCGTCGAAACCAGCTCAACAGCGGAGCAGCCGTCTAGCAGCCTATGCACCGTTGCAAAAGCAATAGAGGAGAAAGAGTCAATAGACGGCTCGCAAGATGCGCACTAAGCCAGCGTTCTTGCTGCTGTACGTCTTTTGAATGCAGTACAGATTTTTATGCAAAGTGGAATGCCGCTCGATGGCTTCACTTTATTCATGCACTAGAATTCTTAGAACTCCGTGAATATGAAAGTTAATAAAATAATAGTTTTTAGCTGGAAATTGAATTACTCGTAAGCACGCAAGACTGAACACATAGTAATTTATTGAGTTACATACATACATGCATGTATTTTATATGAGCCTACATACATACAAACCTATGTACCAATAAGTAAATAAGCAGAAATTACAAAAAAATCTAATGCTAACTTTAGCTATGTAAATTTTAAGCAAACATTAAATATAATTGGCACGAGAACTATCAAGGATAAGAGCTAGACAACAAAAACAACCGACACTGTTCAACACGAGCACACGGCATTCGTGCGCGTAGCGGTCTGGCGTGGGAAGGCCTTGACGATTTCGCGACTTCGACAGTAGATAATTAGAGCTATTGAAATATTTAAGTTTAACGGTATATGCAACAAATACTTCAAGCGGCTTGAAGTGGCAAAATGCGTTGCGCTAGTTATATAACTGTATTATCATATCCTGTTAGCAACAAATTAAGGCAGCGCATGGCGTTCGATCACTCAAAACGATTATTCTTTTAATTTTATTATTTTCAATTGTCACACATATCATTATCCACATCAATACACACATACATACATATGTACGCACACAATCACTGTTGTTGTGTTTAAGAAATAATTGTAAAACTTTTTGACGAGGCAATACTTTCAATAAAATATTTGCAACACAATTAGCTTCTGCTTAAATAACAACAGTTTTCAGAGCATTAAATACAACAACAATTTGTATTTAGACATAATACCGCTATAAAAGCCAACGTTGGGTTGCATTTCTGGTAAGTAATGTGTGGTGTTCGACTTTTCTTTTTGCTTTCATTTAGGCGCGCTTAGAAACGTTATTTCAGTTAAAAACAAAATAATTTCTCTTTCTGTTGATATATTTGGATAATTATTAACACAAACAAAAAAAAAAACAGTTTAGAAAACTTGCTGACTGTTACAATTTAAATAAAAAAATTGAAATTTAATTAGCATATAATACAGTTTTTTTCACTAAATTCAACCACTTCCATTCCCTAAAAGCACTTTTTAATGCATGAAAACGTTGAGAAATCCTTTGAGCTGTAATTTTTTTTGCAAAAAAAATAAAAAAAATAGAAAATGAAGAGTCAAACTCTCATAAATAACTGTTTAGCGTTTGAAAAGTTTGAGAATTATCTAAAATTTCAGTGAATCTGTTAGTAAAAAAAATTCATCATCGTTCATCAAGTTGCTGTGTGCGGGTTAGTTTGTATTTAAAGTGCCTGTTGGAAAATTAAAATTTATTGAAAAATGTTCGATATCGAAAAAGTAAATTTTAGGCTTGTAGTAGATAGAAAAATACTTAAGATGTTCTCTCAGGCTATTTCCGGGTACAAACTTAAGAGAAAAATCCGTCTTATGCATTTTTTTTGTATAAAACCGGCGATTCGCGACATTTTTAATTTGCTAAAATTGTAGGTATTTCCAAACTTAAATAGACTTAAGATAGCGTTAGAGCCCATGCGATTCTGCAAATTTCCTTATCTTTAGATTTTTTCTGCGACCTCTAGTTTAAAAGTTATAAGCAGTTTTCTATTCGGCGGCTGCTTGCTACATGCGACCAGGAGCTTAGTAGAGATCCGAACTTTTGCTGTCAAATTGAATGCAATTTTTCTTCCGCATGGTGGTGTGGCATACTTTCGTACCGGATGTCGGTATAGTATCTGAACCGGAACGATAAAATAATCGTTGCATATTTCCGGTTTAACGTAATATTCCGGAAGCGACAAAATGGAAACGGAAGTATGCCCTGGACGGAACTGGAAATTAATTTGACCGGACTTCCGGAAATATTATATATCGGAACCGGACATAATATCTGACTAGTGCTAACAAAAGAACTTCCTGTTCATTAAATATTTCCGTTTCCGTATTATAGTTTCCGGTAGAACACCACAACCGGAAATGCAACAACTTATAACTTATTTCCGGCCCACGCCATTCTCCGCTTCCGGTCGAAGAATATTTCCGCTGCCTTTGCTTCATTTTTGCCCCTTTGCATATGCTACACCAACATGCAGTTTTCCGGCGCATTTGTCTGCTTTCAATTTGGCAGCAAAATCCCGGATTTCTACCAGGCGATCAGAAGCATGTAGCAAGCCATAGTCGTATAGAAAAATGCGTATAACTTTTAAACTAGCGTTCGTTGAAACAATCTAAAAATGTGCAAAATTGCATGGGCTATAATGCTATTCAAGAAAATTTAAGTTCGGAATAACGCACAATTTTAGCGAATAAAAATTGTTTCGTAAATTACGAGCTTAAGAAAAAAAGCCGTTTTGAGCGTGAGCGTGAAACAACCTGAGAGAACCTCTCCAAGTATTTTTCTATCTACTACAAGCCCAAAATTTTTCGATATCGCAGATTCTTTCAATAAATTTTTGTTTTACAGCAGCCACTTTAGACACCATAAAATACACACACAATTTTTTTTTATATATTTTAAAGATTTTGCAATTTTTTTTTACTTATATACGAATCATCTAAAGAGAGCCACAATATTTTTGTGTATTATATAATATAATATGTTTATTATATAATATAAATTATATATCTGAATTCAAAATGAAAAGGGACTAGGATATTTGCAGAAATTGTGTTGATTAGCCAATGGTAAATGGAAAACATATTCGTATTTATTTTCAAACATTCTTTCGTTTATTTTAGTCGTTCATTTTTATAATAATTCATATTAACATTTTAATATTAATAATTTATTGACTTATTAACGCTTTATACAATTATTTGCCATACTTTATGATAATTATATCGTTTTTTCTTGTTTTTTTTTTGTTTCTTTCTTTAATTTTTTCGATTTACATACAAATATAAGTAGAAAAATTAATTATTACATAGAAATGTTTTAATGCGTTAGTATTCATTAATATTAGACTGGCATTGTTTTTACTTCCACTTCAATAACTGCAAGCGCGCATTCAAACTAAGAAATTATTTGAGCATTAAATTCGAAATAAAACTGGCTTTGCTGGCAGCGCAATTCTTTCTCAACACACTGGTTAACTTGTAAGCGAGGAGACAACTTGTTTGCCTACGCTAAAAATTAACGGTAATTTTCGTTACGAGTTATGTGCTGACATTAGTTGTGAGTTTGTTTACATTCGCTATAATTTTAATTTAAATACTACTGAAAAGAATCTCCGAAAGGGCAGTTTTTGAGTGTAGTCGACTTATTGGTGTTTGGAATTTCGCATTATTCTTCTTCGTCTTCTTCTTCTTCTTCACTTTAAAAATTATTAAACTTATGCATAAGAAATTATTGCAAAATATATGACACATTATTTCATTACAATTAACTTTGTTATAAAGTTATTGGTGCGCTTAAGTTAAGATTTATTACAAAACGAGTATAGAGAAAACGCAGAAAACCGTTTGGTGGGCACGCATGCACGCAGTGGTCTCGTGTTTGTTCGTGCCAACTGCATTTTGGCGCTCAAATTCTACAATCTGCTTGTTCGTGTGTGTGTGTGTGTGATTTGTTGTTGTAACTTAAGAACAAATTGTGTTTATAAAAAATATGTATATTATATATAATTGTAAAAGCTATGCTCAAACGACTGGTGGTTCGGTGCCAAGATGTTCATCGTCAGCTCTGTGTACGGAGGAAAAGAAAAATGCAACGGAAAGTGAGAAAATTTGAAAATAAAGTATGCACTAAGGTTTTAAATAAATTTGTAAAATAAAATTTAAAAAATTAAATAAAGTACGTAATTGTAATATTGAAAAAAAATTAAATAAAAAATTTAATTTGCAAAAAGAATAAAAAAAAATTAATTTGCAATAAATAAAAATATATCAATACATACTAAATTTTAAAAATACATTTTGTAAAGTATATGGCATTAATCTATAATTATAATACTAAAAAAATATTATTAAAAAAATTAAAAACAAAAAATTAAATTACAACAAATAATAGTTCATATAATAGTAATACTAATTATTATAATAATATTAATTTTTTTTTGTTTTTTTAGGCCGCAAGGAGGGTTTAGAACCACTAAAACACTCCCCCCTTCTGTCATGGATTTTTCCCTTGCCCTGAGACCGCTTCAAGGCAAGTTTTCCAAATCCAATAATAATAATAATTTACTAAAAAATTAAAGTAAAATAATAAATTTTCACTAAAAAGAAATTATAATTTTTACTAAAAAAAATAAAATAATAATTTTTTCATAAAAATAATATTAATTTCAATACATGTTGAAAATAAATGTATTTTCTGTTTCATTTGTTCTCAATCACAATGAGTTTCTACAATCCCGTTACTTTTAAGGAATAAGTGAAAACTAACCTCAACAGGTCTCATGTGCCTTTTCTATCGCCCACTTTTTGCCTAACTAATTAACCTTAGTTTGCGCAATTTTTCAAAATGCTTATTATTGATCTGTTTCACAGCACATAATCAAGTAGTAATTCTTTCAAACTAATTACAATATTTTGCTAATGCAATAATTAACTATGACGCATACATACATATTTTTTAATTTTCATTTTGTTTTTAATATTTCATACTTTTTTACGTAAGCTATATTTATACATATTTATATATATTAGTTTTTTATGTTGCATAGTATTAATGCTTGTATGTATATTTTTAGCTATTACTGTATATTTAAATTTAATTTTCATAATAAATTACGCTAGATTTTATTATTAACGTTGTACATTAATTCCAAGCTATTCTTTGAGCAATTTCAAACTGCTTAATCTTTGCCAAGCATTTCATCCATAAGCCTGCAAGCATTTTAGATTCTGTCGAGCAGTCGCTTTAAAGGTCAATGCTTTGTTTGTTAATAATATTTAATTAAAATTATTTTCTAATATATTTACATATTTATAAATGTAAGTTGTTTGTTTTTTAATTATTTTTTATTTATTTTTTAATTGACTTTTATTGTGCAGATTGATATTTAACACATATACTTGTATATCTCGTATATCCTAAACAGGTTATATTAAGCTTGCCACGAAGTTTGTAACACCCAGCAGGAAATGGCAGAGACCCCATAAAATGTATATATCAATAATCAGCGAGACAAGCTGCGTCGATTTAGTCATATCTGTCTGTCTTTCCATCTGTTTGTCCGTCTGTCTGTATATATGCATGCGAACTAGTCCCTCAGTTTTTGAGATATCGACCAGAAATTTTGGCCCCCACCTCTTTTTCTTTCCAAAAAGCTGCTCGTTTGCCGGAATCGCCGATATCGGAGCACTTTAGCATATATCTGCCATACAAACTGAACGATCGGAAGCAAATGCTTGTATGGAAATCTTTTTCATGTGACGAGATATCTTTACGAGATTTGGCATGGTTTATTACCTAAAGCAATAATGCAACCACCGAAGAAATTGTTCAGATCGAACTACTATAGCACATAGCTGCCATAGAAACTAAACGATCGGAATGAAGCGCTTGTAAAGAATGTTTTTTTTTGTGTGAAGGGTATTACAGCTTCGGTGCAAGTTAACGTTTTTTGTTGTTTTGGTTTAGTTTTGTGATATTTTGATTATCGTACAAAAAAAAGTTTAAACAATTTACAAACGAAAAAAAAGAAAACAGTAGTATGAATTTATTTCTAAATTTAACAAAAAAAAAAAAACTAATACCTATAAAAAAAATCTAGAGAGAAGTAGGAAATTATTTGTAAATTAAACAAAAATATAAATCCAAATTTTTTCACATTTTATATTAAAGTTAAGTGCTTTTAATAAACGTATTGTAGCAGCCATAATTTTAGCTGTGAGTCGAGCCAGTTTTCAACGAATTTTAAACAAATGGTTTTGGAAAGAAATTTTATCTAAAATTTTTAATCATTTCATATTTTTAGAATTTGCTGTAGTTTTTTTGAATATATTTCATAATTTGTTCATAGAAACCTTTAGCACATGTTTTTCGCTAATAACTACACATATGTATATATGTATGTAGATAGTATTTATAATATTTTAGTTTAGTTCATAATAAAGACTATTTGTATGTATGTATGTTTGTATGTACATATGTCAGTATGAAGATACACCTGCGCAAACATTAGCTAACTAATAACATACTGTCAAGCGCATAAGCTTGGGACACATACTCTCTCCCTGCAACTCTTATCGCCTATAACCTTCATCTGTTCTTCTTCTTCATGCTTTCAACATAATTACAGATAAATAGCATGTATATTTCTATGCACATAAGGTTTTGACCAACTCAAAGCCTTTCTTGTTTTATGCAAGCCCACTCTATTCGCTATTTAGGCACAAATTCCCCACACACGTTTATATTTAGCATTTTGACTCGGCTAGACACACAAGCTCACATATTAACCACATTAAATTCAACTTTCAAACACTATAAATGCTTTCTTAAAGATCTAAATCGATGAGGCGCCATTTTTGCCTATTAAGTGTAGCCTCTACTGTTATATGAGCAGTCGCACATACGCATAGTCGAGTATTTCCAAGTCTAACCAAATAGTCTCAAGGCGTTATTTCAAGTCACTCTCTAGTGTGTACTTCCGCTGCGCCTGAAAACTGTCGCGCGACAACACATTTTGCGAACACGAGTGTACATACGCCAGCAGAGTGATGGTCAGCGCTAGCGGTAAGCAGCAGCAGCGCAGCGAGACAACGTTCCACCGCACGACGCATTCCAAGTGCAAACTGTTTGTTTGTGAGTAGGCGTTCGGTGCGCTGTTGCGGTAGTATGGGTTGTTGTTGGGCCGTGGGTAGACTATGTGCACCGGTGGCGGTTGGTCGAACTCATCGAAGAGCGTCGGATCGAAGCGCGCGTCTATATAGTCAATCTCGTGATAAACCAAACTAGACGGATTCCAACTGCTGCAATTCCAGGCATAACGAAGCAGCATGCGTTGAGGGAATACAAATCACTTATCTTAAAACAAATGTCTATGCACATACTAGAGGCTTCTTACATTTCTATGTAACTTTGCAACGCATAACTTAGGGGGTACTAGGTACTAACTAGATTGTGGTTTCAACTTACTGCGGACACGTATCCACATTTTGGCCGCTGATGGCCGCGGTGCCCAATGGTATGATGCCTCGCGCTTCGCCCTCCACGACGCGCACGCAACCGTTGAAGTTCTTGGTGTAGCGGCCGCCAGTGAATTTGGCTACGTCTGGCGTGCCACCTGCAAAATGAAGCGAGCACATTGTAATCAGTAAACATTCGCCTATATGAGTTTTTTTCTGTTGCACTTACCAATGAACACATGTCCGGGTAGGCTCATTTGGTCCTTGCCGGTCGGACGTGTTTCGCCCGCATCTAACAGGTGATCCAACTCTAGTACGGCAGTGTTGTCCGTTCGCTTAATCAACACAATGTGGCGGCCGCCATCGTCGATGCGCTTGTCTGGATTGCGTATGACGGTTTCCTCGCCGTTGAGACGGAACGAGAACTCCACGGTGCCATCAACTATGGCTAACGCCATGAAGTCTTGTCCTGTATATTCCTCATCCTTCTTTTGGCCCCACCAGAGCAGCAGGCCATTGGGATCGGTTGTGGAGAATACCATCGCTGCGAAAGAGTATTTTTGATCGACGTCCGAGTTGAAATAATCGCGGTTTATCTCCAGATAACCGTTGCCGTGGAAGGTGGCATCATAGACGAGAGTTATGTCTATAGTTTAGGAGATAAATGCGGTTAGTATAAACAACGCAACTGAATTGAGTGATCTGCGACTCACGTTCTTCACAGTGTTTGCCGGTGAAGCCAACTGGACAATCACAAACGGCTTCACTGTCGTGCACACTGCAGCTTCCGCCATTTTCGCAGGGGTCGCTGGCGCAGGCATCTACTTGTTGGTCTATTTTCTCACTTTGTGCTTTGCTCTCTGTGCCCGTCGCTGGCTGGAGTTTTGTGGCATCTTGCTCGAAGTTGTCGAAGGACTCATTCTGATCGATCTCGTTGATTTCGCCACAGTTCTGGATGTTGGCTGCATCGATAACATCGGCAATCAGGTGGATTTGTCGTTGACCCTCGAACAACTGTTATGGTGGAAATATATTATTCAGGAACATTTAACTGACTGTGCTAGATACTTACGCCCGAGATGCAGCCATCGAAGCCTTGTGTAATGTTCACGTCTCGGTTGAGTTTGACGTTTTCGTGATCATAGCCGCCCACGTATAGCGGAGTTTTTATGTACAACATGCGCGCCAACTTCGTTGCCTTGGCTCGTTGCTCTGGTTCGTTGCCAACGCGTAGGACCCCTTCACCGAAACGACGCGATATTTCAATTTCGGTCCATTTGTTAACCGGTAACGGATTCTGTGAACGCACCAGTATAGGATTCAGACGCGCGCCGGTGTTGATAATTAGCTCAACATGTTTGTCGCGCAGCAGTACAGCAATGAAGTCGCCGCTGGGCAGTTTAGATTCGGCGGCGTATAGTAGGATTGCGTCATGCAGGGAATTAGGTCTCACCTTGAACTTTACATTAAGTTTGGAGGCGCGTGGAGTTCTATAAATAATTGTACAATATATTAAAAGCGCTAAAGAAAACAGAGTGTAACTTACGGATAGGCAGCATAACTGTTAAGCTTGAACGCCAAGCTGTTCTCATTCAAATGTTCAATATACTGGCAACGATCGCCAGTCTTGTTCAGCGGACAGAGGCATTCCATGCCGGTTTCGGTGTTTTCACAACGTCCGCTGCCACAAATACCCGGGGTGCATTGCGTGCCTTCGACGCCACAGTTGTGTCCGGTCCAGCCCTGTTGGCAGATGCAAGTGTACGCCACTTCTGTTTGACTCTCCAGGCAGATGCCGCCATTCTCGCAAGGATTTTGCTGGCATGGACGGCAGGCGGTGACACCCTCCTTCAGTTTCGCTTCCTTCATCAACTCAACGATAGTTCCTTGAAGAGTAAGGCGACTGATGCAGCCAACGAAGCCAACTTGCTGATCGACAGCCTCATGTGGCAGCATGTCCCAGTTAGGCACGCCGCCGATGTACAAGTCTTCGATGAGATCTAATGGTGAGATTTGCGCAAGTGTGGGGAAAGCGACTGGGTGCTGGTCGTCAACCTGTATATAGCCATCGCGACGGAAACGATTCACGCGCACTGTGTGCCATTCATTGAGTGAAACTGGACGCTCAGAGCGTATGACCATTGGTTTGCCGTCGAAGTCGAAACGGAACTCAGGATAGCGATCTTTTAGCGAGAGCGAAATATAGTCGCCGCTACCACGCTTCTGGCCGTTGAACAGCAACAGACCGTTAGGCTGCTCGGGACGGAATGTAATGTCAAAGTTGAACTTGATGTATGATTCGGGCAAAGTGGGGAAAGACATGTAGCTGACGGGTTCTTGGTGGAAACGCGGAATCGCTCCGGTGACCACTAGTATGACGGGATAATCGACGGACTGTCCGTCTGGTGTGCTTGATGTGCAAATGTAGGTGCCGGCGTCATTTGCCTGCACATCTTGTAATTCCAGTCGCTCCTGAAAGGCAAAGGATCAATATATAATAATATATAGCAAGTAGGACAAAAATTTACTGTGGAAGCCAGTACTCACGTTGTACAGATCGCGATCACCTTGCATTTGACCGTATTGGCGGGACCAACGATAAATGCCCGGCACTTCCGCGTCACAGTTCAGCTGGGCAGATGAGCCGACATTAGCATGTACCAACTTCGGACGTTTCCACTCGTGCGGCCACTCCTCGATACCAAGCGTGTAGCTGGTGGTGTACAGCTCGCCCTCATCTGTCTTGCACTTGCAGCGATAGTCACCAGCATCGGAAGCGGAGACATGCGAGATGATGAGCCGATTGCCGATTTGCTAAAATCGCCAGCCCCGTTGAGAATAAAGAGTAGAGTAGACAATCGACAACTAACCTGTATATTCGGTGGTAGCGGCGAGCCATCGGCACGTTCCCATGCAACATCGGTGTAACTGCTGTCCGAGGAATAACACTCGACCTCTGTCGACTCGCCGATGCGCAATTGCGACGACTGTTGATCTAGCTTCAGACTGCGATCGCGTGGGTGGGTCTGCTGTGGTGGAGGTGGGTTGGAAAGCTCCGGTAATGCTTGTGGTAACATGGGCAAACGAGGTGTTGGCACTGCCGCTGCTATTGCTATTGTGTGCGTGCGCATATTGCAGTTAAATTATCGATTTGTGCATGCGCATATATCGATAGTGAAAATGATCGAAATCGAAATATTGAGCAACCAGCGTACCGAATATTCATTCATACGAATGCAAGGGCAGTTGGCAACGTCAATTCACAGGCCATACCAAGTGCAGCACGCAAACACATACACGCACATGGTTTTTATATTTGATGAACAACGTTTTTTGTTTTGGTTTTTGTGATGAGTTTTGTTTTTTTTTGTTTTGATTTGTTTTTGTTTGCAATTAGTTGATATTTGAAAATTTAAGTTACAAAATGAGTTACAGGTCGATATGTTTGGCGATGGACGTGTGACGTGTGACGAGTAAGGCGATTGACGGTGTGTTATCGATAACATTTTGATGACGATAATTTCAAGTTGTTGGCCAATTTCGGTATTTGCGCATTTTCGCGTATTTTTGAGTTGTTTTCGATTTTGCATTTTGAACGAACACACAAAGTAGCAACGACATGGATGACAAACAGAAGTCGAGGCGATTAATCGACAAGCGTTTGGTGGTGGTGGTGGTAGTGGGATGGGCGGTTTTGATAGCGGATGGAAGGATATATAATATTTAGGCGGTGGTGATGGTGGTGGATTGAAGGAGTAGAAGTAGAGAAAATACAACGATTAGCAAAATTTGGAAAAATCAATTTGTTCACAACATAAATTCAACATTTTAAGCTAACAAAGTTATACAAAATACTAAGTTTACAAATGAGCGTAGACAAGGTGAGTGGTGTGTCTTTGTAATTGGGTAAAATTAACGGGAAAAATTCGAGGGAATTAACTACTACCAATGCCAAAATGGAGCAGACAATAAATAAACGGACAAAAGCAAGAAAACAAAACTCAAAAATAAATCAACTCAAAAACAATTCAAAAGCCGATTGCAAAAATTGTAAAAATAAAAGAATTTTGTAAATGAAAATACAATATATAAATAAATTTCGAAAAATCGTTTAGTGCATTTTAATCACAAAATTTTGGTACGGATTTCTTTTGAGATTCAAGGATTTGCATACTTTTAGTAATGATGACGTTAGAAAGCCAAATAAAACTGCATGCAAGCCTAAATAGTTAAATGTGTATATATGTCGCTAAATGACGATATGTGCGTGCTTGTGTGTGTGTGCATGATAAATGTAGGCAATTGCAAGTCGCTATATGCATGCATGTGTGTGTGTGTAAGTTTATCAAGTTTATCGGCAATGTACGTACATATATTTACATACACACAAACTACCTACATACAAACAGACATGTGAGCAAATATACTTGCTAAATGTACATAACGGTATACTTATCATCTCTGCTACGGTTTATAAATTTATGCATAAGTACACTAATACATACATATATATACATACACTAGCGCTACTGCAATACATAAATACATACATACAGCTATTCATAGATAAGTGTACGCTTACGGCTCGGCCTGTTAACGCCGTAATTTTTGCATGTAGAGCGCAAGGGCTGCACTTTGTTGTAAACATACGCAAAATTAAGGGAAAACGCTTTCACGAAATGCACTGTTATTCATTGTATATGCAGCCCAGGCGCTCTAGGCGGCCACTTTGTTACTTACAACGGGTTTGTATTGCTGAAAAAGCCTATCAACTTAAAGCTAAAGTCATAATATTTACATATATATATTATATAACGGAACATGAATAAAACCATGATGCAAAGAGGAAGTCAAAATATTTACAATTAGTCGAATTACGCGTTACCTTTGACCAGCGTGTTCGGTTTAATGTCGACAGGCGTGTGCGGAACACGGGCTTTTATGAGTAATGTTAGCAGTTTGAAGTGTAAGTGGGTGCGCCAATTTTTACTGTTTTGAACATAATTTCAATCCGCCGAACAACTTATAACGTAAAGGGATTTCGCTCAACATATGACATGAGCATGTTAGCTGCTAGCCGTAATGAAAAAAAAATTTAATCCAAAGAGTTTCGAATTACTTAATTTTAACGCATCCTTCACCAGCAGGTCACTCAAGTTAAGGGTTTTGTATTTGCAATTAATGGTTAGTATGCTTTTAGGCGCTTTTACGTGTTTCGGTTGTAGTTTGTATACAAATTCACTTGCCGAATTTTCCAGCGTACTTTGAACACTTTATTTTCAAGCGTGCTTCGCCACCAATTCCTAAGCGACAGGGTTACGCTAATTTTACAAGTCCACTTTTAGGCGCTGTTGCGTGTTTGGTTTGTTGGAGCGTGCAATATATTAGGTGTACCTTCGAGATATTTGCAACACAACAGCTACAAAGTTTTGCTATTTTAAATACGCTTTTGCCAAGTGTGCATTCTACTTTTGCCTTCGGTGTCTCAAGATACCGTTTTGTTTTCGTTTATACCACAATTTTCGTTAATAACTACATCGGTTTCTACACATGCGTACAGTGTGCTTGTTTGTGATACATCTGTGTCCTATAACTTAACCTCAATGTGTGTACAAAACAGAAAGAGTTTCAAACTTAAAAAAAAGGTGTTTGTGTGCGCCTGTTCCATATACGAAAGAAATACAGCGTTAGAATCCAAAATAAGGTGCGCAACAAAACAAAAACCAAACAAAAAGAAGGACAGAAAATTCAAAACAAACCGAGTGAGCGGGAAACGTTCGTTGGCAGCAGATGGCGCCGCTTTTTCAGGCGCAACCGTTGCTTGCGCTTGTGTGTGTGATTATTGCGCCGTTCCTTGTGGCTGCTGTGGTTGCTGTGACGCTTCTTCCAGCGCTTGTAGCCCGGCTTCTGTGATGGCTTCTGCGGCTGCTTTTGCGTTGCCAGCGGTTTGTGCGTGGGTGGCGCACTCATTGGCGATGGCAGTGATGTTGCTGTTGGCGTTGACGCTGTTTGTGTCGTCGACAATGTGGTAGGCGGCTGTGGCGGCGTACAGTTAAATTCGTCCGAATGATCTGTGCAATCGTGTATGCCGTCACACACCATTGACGCTTTGATGCAGGTGTGCGGATGCGAGACACACTTGAAGTCGTTCGGTTGGCAAGCGTAGGAGAGGCGCGTGGGCGGTTTGGAGACGAGCGCTTTGGGTGCTTTGAAATCTTGGCGCGTGCGTGAAGTATGGCATATGAAAACGCGCGTGAAAAATAGTAGTTGTGTTGGCATTCAACAACCAAAAAAGGCAACGTAACAGGCGCAGAGCGTGTGTAGTGTAAAAAGATTTGTCAGAGTCAGTCGATGACGCGCCATTAGGGGCAGGTGAGAACGTAATATGTGGGGTAGAGGTGAGAAAATATGAAAATAAAATAGTTACATTAGACTAGAATGTTCGACTAATGCCGCAAATGCATTCCAATGAACGAAACCGTACTAAAATTAAACAAAGATGCTACGCGTTCAGCAAATATCTACTACTACACTACAGCTACACATACATACATACAAACTACAGGCTACTGATTGTGGCAGTGAGCGCGCCACTAAGCGGTTTTAGTTGCAATTTACATCAAAAAAGGTACGCCGCTTATAGGCGCCTTCACGCCTAGCGCTTACACTAAATCTTAGACTAAAAACTAATGTTAATGCTAACAGCATTTTTTCAATAATAAGTGTGCTAAGGCTGTGCGCAAAGTGGAGCGCTCACTGAGGCAACGTGAACAACTAGTCAAGGAAAGCATCAAATATAAACGTGCGAGTTGCTGTTGCGCGGTTTAACAGTTAAGCGCGCTCCACTATGCGCTCAGCCTAAATTTCGTTCAAGTTTAGTCAAATCGCATGTATTAATTATTTCGCTGATCGGTTGTTATGCCGAATGCGTGTTACACAAAACCAGTATTTTGCTCTAAAATTTGCGCAAATATTTATTTTTTCGTTAGAGATCCATTAAATTCCTGGCGAATGTTTTTTTTTTTACAATAGTAGGAATGCTTAAATTGAATATTTAAATAATTTAGAAATTTGAATAAAAAAATCTAGCTACAAAAACACAAATCCAAACCGGAATTTATATTACATTGGAATGGCGGGGTTGCATACAGCTCGTTTTGTTCTTACTTCGTGGCATATTATATACAATTGTATGCGCTCGTTCATATATTTTGACGATAACTATTTTTTTGCTTCACTAACTACGAATTGTTCTAAATTAGTAATACATTTTTCAAACTAGACAGTGACTCACAATAGACTTCGAGTATTGTTTTCTTTTTTTTCTGCTTTTTTTTTTGCATTTGCTATTAAAACTACGAGTACTATGCGGTATACACGAGCACAGCCACTAGCCAACATGGTTTCTAACTAAATAAATTTTAGCATTTGAATTATTGTTCCACACACCTGTACAGATATAAAATACGACGCAAGGGACCTCACTTATGCTGTAACCTCCTGAAAGCGCCAATGCGCGTGCGCATACGCATAATTGCAAGCGCGCGTGTAAGGCGGCGAGCGGGCATTTATTCGCGTTTCGTATTGTATGCCCGGGCAACGTTCGGTGTCGCCGAATGGTGCCGTTGGCGTTACCGTTAGCATGACCAAACGTGTTTTTTGTTAGCGTTATCGTTTATGGGTTCGTGGCGATTTTGGCATTCGGTTCATTTTTGTTTTGTTGACATTTGTTTTTGTTTTTTTGGTATATGCAGTCGTTTGTGTTGCGATGTGGTGAACGATGATAGTTTGTCGAGTTGGTGTACATGTGTGTATGTGTGTGTATGTGAAAATGAGGCGTTGTATGTTGATTTTGATTTTGGGCGTGGCACAAATTGATTTCGTTGTTGTAGTTTTACATGTTGTACACATTTTTTGTTTTTTTTTACATTTTCATTTGGCAAAAAAGTTTTGCGACATTTTTGAAGTGTAGCAGAGAGTAAGTTGAAGAGAGAGAAAGAAAGATAAAGAGAGAAATAAAAAGAAGCAGCATTTAATAAACAAAGAAAAATTATTTGTTTTGCTAATTTTGTACTTTTTTGTTAAAATTAACAGAATTTATAACAAAAGTAGAATTTATATTTCGATTTCAAAAATCTCTTATTTTTGATGCGTCATAGCTCGCGTTCTATTGCTTTGCAACAAGCTTTTAATTTCATTTTTTTTTTCAATTTTTTCCAATTAACAAACTGATTTGACTTATTAAAGATCTACTAAGCCAACAACAAGTACAGGAGACAAGGGAATACAAACATTTACTAAACCGGTACTTTAAGTGTGAACATAGAGAGCTACTAGCTAGGCGAACAAATATATATGGATAGAGAAGAGAAAGTGAGAGAGAGAGCGAGTGTGTGTGATGGCAGTAACATTATAATACTAGTGAAGTGTGTACATTTTTTACGTTAACGGTTAGCACAGTGTGCTGTTTGCTGGTATCCTGTACCGTTGAAAGTACTCACACATTAACACATTACCACACTACCACATAAATAAATTTGTGCATGTGGATGTGAAATTGTGTGCTCGAAGCTACAGTTGTGTGTGTGTTTATAAAAATGGGCGTATTCGTGTGTGTGTGTGTGTGTGTATGCATGTGCATGTGGATACTGTTATGCGGGTACATTATAAATCGGTATTGCCTCACAGCGAAAGTAGGCAAATAAAGCTTTCATTTTACTACAAAAGCGCTTTACGCAGAGCTTTCACATAAAGCGCAAATGCAGCTGTATAAAAGTGTCGCTAAAACTAAAAAAGCTTTCAGCGCACGTTATAAGCAACTTAAATTGAGCTTTTGTTGAAAACTTTCACTCGACACAATACACTTTTAAATTACCATACAATTAGGAATGGTGCCCAACAACTGCTGGCTACTTATACAGTTAAATACATATGTATAAACGAGTATTGCGTACGACTACCAATATGACAGCATGTTTCAGTTTTGCACTGTGCGTTTCTTACACAAAGACATTTTAATATTTAAACTTATAGTTTACAACATAAATTACGCTACAAATGATCTTTATACATACATAAATACATAGAGCTAATGATGCTTAACTTTTACAACAAAATATTTATGTGTATGTAGGCTTGTTCCGATGTAACACATAATGATAAATAATACTAAACACTTAACATTTCTAGTATATGATATGTACATATATAGTAAAAAGAGGCGATGGATAAAAAAAGTTAGGTGATGTGGCAATATACAAGAAAAGCTGTCATGGCATGAGTTTGGGTTTGCAAGCGTTAAAAAGTGTCGAAAGCTCAAAGTCAGCAGTTGTCTGCTGACGAATGTAACAAATGTTGTAAATGTAGTTTGAAATGCAAATAATTTATAGACTTGCTTTTAGTAGAAGTGTGTAAAAGTTTAAAATTTGTTTGTTTAGAGTTAGAAGATTAAACTTACATTAATTTAAATCATGAAAGCTCACGAAACTGATTGGAAATTAAAATTTGAAAGTCTTACATTACCAGTATTTATCAAAATCGGCTTTTGTTGTAACTTATAATTTTCTGTTAACGTAATACAAGTATTTTTGCGCGCTAGAGCTTTCACAAATGTCACTAAAAGCTTTATTGTGAGCTTTTCTTGAATGCATATGTCTTCATTCAGCTACAGTTGTGTAAAACACATTAATAAATCGTTAAAAATTTGTAAATGGCAATAAAAGCTTTATAGTGAGCTTTCACAAATGTCTTAATTCAGCTACAGTTGTGTAAAACACATTAATAAATCGTTAAAAATTTGTATTGACATCGAAAATGAATTGACGATAAATTTGACGCGAAACTCGAATGCAAATATAAAAAAGTGTGCGTGTGTGCGTGTGGCGTCTGTGTGGTAGGTAAGTGGAAAAATAATGTTAGGAAAAGTGAAAAAGCGAGTCATAAAATGTAGGCAACCATTTGTTTTGCGTGTAGAATGAACAGAGCGGTCAGCAAGTGGGGCGGAAGTTGTGTGTGTGTGTGACGCGTTAGAGAAAACAGCACAAAAACTACACCGAAGATGAGGGGAAACTGAAAAGTGATAATTTTGAAAGATCCACAACCAAAATTTGTCGTACAAGTGCCTGTAAATTTGGCAGCACTAAATCAAATAAGTAGTTAAAGCGCTTGTACGTAAAACAGTCGATACTAAAAGTAGTGTTGTAAACTCGAATAACATAAAAATAACTTAAAAACTGTTTTCGAACTAAAAAAAAAAAGCATTGGCAAATAATAAACAGAAAAAGTGTGACGCTTGTGCAAATGCCAAAGCGTTGTGCAGCTGTGCGGTTTTTAAAATTTACGCTCAATAGTATGCTACGCAGTTTTGAAAATCATACAGCACCGTCTGGCATTTGGCACGACGCGTAGCACAAAGCTAGCGCAACGTAAGGCAATCAAAATACTTGATGGGACAAAACTTTTCATAGAAGAAATTAATAATTCATTCAAAGTGAAATTGTTAATAAATTCTGTGTATTTATTCGTTTTCTTTTCATTCTTTTTCCACTTAATTATCAAAATATATTCAATGGCAGCCAGTTGTTGTAGTTGTTGCGTTTGACATTAAGATTATTATGTTTACGATTACGTTTACGATTATTAAAACAGAGAGACAGATAGAAAGTGTTGACAATAAAAATTGCAATTGAGGGCAGTTAAACAAAATCGAGCTTAAAAATAATTTTAGGACTTGTGGGATACTTGGGATTAGAAAAAAAAGAACAGTCATGGATTCGAGGGTGGGGATTGAGGATTACAAGTGTTTAAGGTTGCGTGTGATCCATGTGGATGCGTGGGCAGTTTTGGGTAGTTATTCATAATATTTGGCATGCAAGTATTTTGCGTAAATTACTCATTTTTACAATAATAACAATAAGGTAATAATTTGGTAAAATTAAATAACTAAAATGTTTAATTTTCGTTTTTGGCTTTTTGTTTTTGTTTTTAAAACATTTCTACTTCGTTTCTACTAGCAACGAAAATTCGCTGAACTTTGCGTGAGCTGTATGGTGCATGTCTCGGCTGTTTCGCTAGGGTTTGTGTCTGAGGTGTGAGACTGCGCATGATTGTTTTTTACCGCCACCAGTTAACAAATAAATTTACAAAAACTACACTATTTATACAAAATATATACAAAGGTTATGAGTTGTTGTTTTTGTTGTACGGGTAATTTGGATATTTCGGTTTAGCTGTTAATACTATTTACAAAATGGAGTTTAGTTTCGTACGGAATTTACATACTTTTTTTTCGTTTTAAATTTATACAAACTAGTTAGCAAAAAGTTAAGACTAGAAGAATTTCAGTGTTGTTGTTTTAGGTGGTGTAAGTAGTTGGTCGACTAACTACTGAAGCCACTAAGTAAGTAGGTACTTGACATGAGTAAACACGGGGTGGCAATAAATTGGGCGCTAACAGCTAAATAAGAAAAATCAGTGGTGGAAATTTGGCTCACATTGCGAATTTCGTCTTGAACATGCCCCAAAGCATTCAAATGTTTTCATTGGTTTTAACTTCGATATTAATTGTAAAGTATATATAAAAAAGTAATTTGCATTAAAAGTGTGTTAGCAAGTAACGAATGTTTTTTTTTTTCTTATTTTTTTTTTTATAAAAATATGCCTAACTTTGTTCATTTTTTTCATATTTTTTCACTTATGCTTCGCAAATGTGATTTTCATATGGAGCTCCTCGTAAGTTTGCTTTTGTATTGTGTTTTTTTTTTTTTTTGTTATCATATAAGTTTCTTTGCTTGTAATTAATGAGCTCGTCTAGCATTGTATCGTCGCCTTCTATCTTTGTCCCTTCCATAGATATCAGGAAGATAGGGATTATACTCACGCTTGATATTCAGATCTACAAACGATGGTGCTGAGCGACTGCCGCCCGTCGAATAGGACTCGCAAACGTAGCGGCCTTCGTCCGGCTTCTGTACACCGCGCAGATAGAGTCGTTGATCGCGTACCAAAGCGTTGCGTGGCAGTGGTCGACCGTCTTCGCGATGCCATTCGTACTGCGAGTGAGCAAGGGAAAAAGTGTAGTTAGTTAGTAAAGTTTTTTAAGCGATTTGTGAAGAAAGCGAAAAGTATTACGCTCGCACTTACTCTGATTTCGCCGCGTAACGTTTCGCGAACGGACTGCACATCACAATCTAGTGTTACGTCGTCACCCTCGCGTATGTTGTAAGTCTGTGCACGTGGCGATGGCAAGTAGGGACCGCGGCGGTTAACGGTAACCTCGGCCATTTTCGTGGTGTTGCCGTAGCGGTTGGAAGCCGAGCAGTAGTAGCGACCTGCGTCAGCTGGCGTAATACCGTTGAAGCGCAGGTACTGTCCTTCGATGCGTGCAGTGCTGCGAGTAGAAAGTAAGACAAAACGAGACAAGAGTATTGTTAGCAAAACGTAGTAATAAAAACCGCATTCGACAACGCAATATAGCTTTAGCAATAATAACAATAGGCGCACTTACTCCGTCAAGGGGCGATTGTGGTCGGTGTGCCAAGACACTTCGATGGGCTCTTCGCCTGTTACTTCACAGTAGACGTCGATGTTGTCATTAACCGTTACCACAATTGGTATGTTCGGGTGGAAGGTGATCTGGGGAATAGGCACTAAGATCAGTTCAGCTATAACGAACGAAACAATGGTGCCGCGATTGTCCAGCGCATTGCAGATATATTTGCCACTGTTTTGCTCCTCCACTGCTGTAATGATCAAGCTGCTTTGATCCAAGTAGGAGTTTGGTGGCAGTGGACGGCCGTCTTCCCGCTGCCAACGTGTCATCAACTCAGGACCTACAAAAAAATAAAATTGTCGTTTATTACAACACGAGTACAAAGCTGGCGGAGTTGTTAAACTTACCGAGATCGCAAGTTAGCCTTACGGCTTCACCCTTGTTGGCGCGATAAATATTCTGTGGTGGGTCATACTGTGGCGGGCGTGGATAAATTGGGTAAGGATTACGTATCACATCGCCATCGTCTATGAAAAAAAAAAAAATAAGAACGTGGAATGGCGATTACGACTTGCTCAACGTAGGAGTTGCTTTAAAGACGCCTGGAGCGTACTTACGTGGCGCATCGCCGCGACGTGGGCGTACTTCTACTGTCACAGAGCTCTCAACGGTGCCAGCTTCGTTGCTCGCTATGCACTTGTATGTCTTGGCGTCATTGCGATCTACACGGTACTTCTCTAAGAAGGCTTGGTTGTGTTGTGGGCTGGGCGGCAAACCGCGGTTGAACTCGGTGGTATCATCCACCCACTGTACTATGGGGCTGGGTACACCAGTAGCGCTGCAGGTCACTTTGAGTTCATCACCTTCAGTTAAGCTCAAGTATTCGTCGTTCGGCTCAAGTGTGATTACGGGTGCCGACGTAACGATCACCTTTTGCAATGCAGTCACACGTCCCACATCGTTCTGCGCAGTACATTCGTAATCGCCGGAGTCTTCCAATTGAATTTCACGGATCCTATTGCAAATATGAAAAAAGTTATTAATTTCTGATACTAAGCCTATATAGCACATGGTATCCTACATTATGTATCCGGGGCTGATTTCCTGGCAGCGCGGCGACAAGGGTTTGCCGTCAACGCGACGCCACTGTACACTAGGATCGGGAATACCAGTGCCACTGCAGTAAAGCATAGCCTCAGTGCCAACAGGAACTGATTGTGGACCGGCTGGGTATACGTCTATGGTTGGGCTCTCACGTGCTGCAATCAAGCAAATCATTGTTGTTGTACATATTAATATAAGGAGCAAGTGGTTTGGGACGTTCTTATTACCGACTCCTTTCTTGTAAACTTGCATTTTGGATACGAAAAATGCAGTAGAGAATAAAAAAAAATGTGGAATCACAAAAATTTTAAATCGGATTGCGACAAATTAAACAAACGGGAGGAGAAGAGAAAGAGAGAAATCGTGTAGAAGAATAAATCAAATTAGTTTACAAGATACCGTCTGCCAGCCACGACTAATTTTTAATTATTAAATAATCGCAATTTTTCTTTGGTTGTGTGGTGTATTGGAGTGTTAAGAATGCTATGCAGTGGTCGGTATCGAATTGAAACTACGCCTAATTCATGTTTCATGGATTTTACTGTACTTACGTTCAACGTCGATAATAGTGTTTGATTCATCAGAGCCCGCAACATTCTCAGCGATACACAAGTACATGCCGCGGTTCTCAGGACGGGCATTAATGATGCGCAGAACATTGCCGGTTTGTTGCACATTGTCAGCAAGTGCCTCGTGAACCTGTAGAGAGAACAGATTTAGCGATCACGCTTGCTATCTGATCACATTTTGACATTACCTTGGTCCATTTGATGCTTGGGTAGGGCGAACCGGTGGCCTCACAGGTGATAGAGAAATCTTGTCCTTGTATGATGCGGTTCTGTTCGGGCAAGCGTTTTACAACCGGCTCGACGCTGTAAAATGAGCAATATCACACATTTACAAGGAAACCTATCGAAGTATTTCTATAACACTTACGTGCCCGGCTGTGGTCCTGGATAGGGTCCCGGACCTGGATACGGTCCCGGCGCTGGATAGCCGCTATCTTCGATCAATACTTGTGCGTCATTCGTGTAGTTGCGTCGACCGCGCAAATCAATGCCGATGCAAGTGTAGAGACCTGAATCACGTGGTGTAGAGTCACGTATTTCAATGGTGTTTCCGCTGATAATGACATTACGTTGGCGATACAGTGGATAACCGTCTTTGTTCCACTCATAGATGAGCGAGATAGAGGTGGTCGGCTGGCAGGTGAGACGTACTAAAAGTCCCGCCTCGCCGGTGTATGATGGCGGGTCGATGTAAATAAGTTCGCGTGGTGGTGGTGGTGCTACAGGTGGCGCGATGCGCACATAAACCTGTGTGTACTTTTCATCGACGCCGTTCTCGTTGGCGGCACGACAGCGGTAGCGGCCTTCGTCAGATTTGCGTGGCGCTTCGAAGATGAGGCGGGTATCCTCTGTGCGTGCTTCGAGCGACATATGACCTTCGACACGGGCCCAGGTGACTGTTGGTGTTGGATTACCACTCACCTCGCAATAGATTTCGTTGCGCTGGTATTCCTCGAATGTGACCACTTGCGGCAGGTTGACGATCTGTGACGGTGTGCGTTGTGAATCCTCTGTAATATGTTGGTACAATAGAAAAGATATTAAAAATAACATTTGCTGGGTTTGGTGCAAGGTATGATACAATGTAGACATGTGTAGTTTTGTTGAGGACGTAAAAAATTGCATTACCGTAACGAGCCAACATTTCACTGGCATAGGCTGCAACCATTTTTTGCAAGCGTTTTAGAAAACATTTTAAATATAAATATACACTCAAAACAACAGTGATTAACGAATAAAAAACTCACGCTGCTTGCGCTTACACTCACCTGTAATGGTTATGGAAATCTGATCTTCGAAAACGCGTTTCGTCTCGTTATTCACCGCACGGCAGACATACACACCGGAGTCGTATATTTGTAGATTGTATAAACGCAATACGCCGCCATCCTCTTCGGCGCTGTTCGGCAGACGACCGCCCAGTTTGAACCATGACACGAACACAGGCACCTGTGGACACAAAGCTAACGTGTTAACGGCACTTCAGTGAAAAATGGTATACAAAGTAGGGTACTTACGCCATTCCAAGCCATACGACCGCTGCAGCTCAAAGTCAGTGAGCCACCGATCGGTATGATGGTGATTTCAGGCGGTGCAATCGATACGGTAATCTGCGTTTGGTAATCTGGCAGCGGTGTGGACACTGGCTTCGGTGGTTCCGGTCGTGCGTAGCCATCTGTAGCGTGTAGCAAGTTTAAAGTTAACGTTCATTTCGGAAACAAAAAAAAACAAAACATAAATCTACTTGAAACATATATAATTAGGCAGGCGCTGGCGAGCACGGTGTAAAAGTTGAGTAACTCGGACGACGAGCTCACCAACACGCTGGCACATAAAGATTAGTGACACTTTTTGTTGTTGGTTTGTTGGATTGCAGCAAGAAACTAAACGCAATTAGCCAGCAACAATTTCGGTTGCGCAGCGTCTGCAATTTGCTGTCGACGCTTGCTGCCCCAACAAACCGCTATGTATAAATCATTGTAAGCGTTCTACGGTTAAACAAAGTAGCTATTTTAAAGCAATTCTAAAGCTCGAACAATGTGAAAGTCTTTAGTTGGATCGCGTTACAAGTTAAGCGCATTGTAATACATTTGTGTGTGTGTGTGTAAGTATAAGTAGCTGCACTGTAGTGCAGTAGTGGTTAATACATATGCTAAGTGTGATTTTTCAACGCGGGTTTGCTTGGGTTGCTAGTAGAAGCTTTGGTATAAAGATAAGTGTTATAAATTCGCTACTGGATTAGCTGGGAACGGGTGTATCAGTATTATGTTTACTAGTGTTTGTTTTGCCTACGCACACTTGGATCTCACAACGGGGTAGAACTGCTTTCGACCTAAATGGTTTGCGCTAGAAATTCATAGAACACATAGAACACGTAGTAAGGCGAGTCTAATAGTATATTTGTATGTATATTAGGGTGGAGCGAAAAAAATATTTTTTTCCTGCTTAGCCTGAGGGTAAAATTTGTAGATGATAAAAAATTTTTAACAAAAATTTTTAGATGTTTTTTTTTTAACATCTAGTAAAAATTTTTTTATAAGTGTTGCAGAAGCTGTGGAGAGTCCTCTTTCTTGCCAATTAAAAGTTATCAACTTAAAAAAAAATTGTGTGGTCATTATTAGAGTTTTAAAATAAGCGGTAAAATAAATTTTGAGTCGAAAACCGTCAAATTCGATAATTTTTATATTATATAAATGTAAAGAGTAAACCAAAAAAAATTTTTTTTTCCAAAAAAATTTTAAATCGAAATTTACTTTAAAATTTTTTTTTCAAAAATTTTCTTATTTTTAATCTTCAAATTTTACGCTCAGGCTAAACAGAAAAATATTTTTTTTTCGCTCCACCCTAATGTATGTATATATGGTACGTTATTTTTAAAGCTACCAAAAACACGCCAACTAATGCAATCATCCATATGAAATATTTAAGATCTGATACCGACTACTACTACTCGATACTTGGTTGCCTATTGCACAAATCGAGTCTAACAATAGGTGGAAACATTTATAGACATAAAATACCAATTACTTGTATTGTAAGTACTGCATTAACGTATGTATGCACGCATGTAGAGGCTGGTCCATATTGTGTGTTCTTTTAATTATAAATAAAATTACAAATAAAAATGAACTGCTTTTACGAAACGCTGCGAATTTATTAAACATGTTACGCCTCAAGTGCCGCCTTAATGCCTTAACGGATTTTGTTACAAACTAAAACGTCGAACAGCAAGTCACAGCTACGACTCATCCAACGCGATTAACGGACTTGGCGCAGAAAAGAAAAAAGAAAAATAAACTAAGTTGCCCTCGTACAACTTTAATTTTTGACAGCTGAACCTAACCGCTAACTTTTATTACAACCGTTAAACGAAACGGCAAAATCCGCAACAAATTGTCAACTAGCGGTTTATAAAGTAGCCAGTAGCCGTTATTTAAATGCGTTTCAGAAAATATAATTTACTTAAACGTGTGCCTTGCAATGCCAACCGAAGCATTTTGTTACGCGACTAAATTTCCTTTAATTTTTTAAATTTAATTTTTATTTTAATTAAAAATATATATATATAATATATAAAAATGTTAACGAAGAGAGCACACTATATGGGCCACCCTTGATGCCTACGGGTTTGTACGAGTATAGTATGAATAGTAGAAATGGCAAAGTCGTTTTCAACACAGTAGGAACTAACCCGAAACTACTATTTTATTAGGGTAGTGATGTACTATTGCTTTGCCAAACACGAAAGTCAAGAGCCAAAGACACTACCAACATATTTCTAAGAGCAAACGTTTGTATTAAAGTGGTTGAGCGAACCTCGCCGATTGCAGTCGTTTCGCAATCTCGTCACGTTCCCTACTTTGCGGTTACCCTTGTATAATTGCAGTGTTTCATTGCTTGCGAATGTCTCATTGGGCATGAGGTCCACCTGATAGCCACAGCAGGCTTTGGGCTCGATCACTAACGTATCCGGTTTATCAATGAGCGTTGACTTATCATTGCTATCGGTTTTGTTGATTTTAACTTTACATTTGGCATACGTGGAGAGAAAAGTAAGAATATTTTGCTTAAAATGTACTTAACGCGCGCTTAAATACGCATAGATTGCATGTGTATGTGCTAAAGACACACACATGCAATATATATACACAATATTTATAGATATATGCATATGTTTAAGTCGGTTATCCACCAATTTGCGCTTGTGTAAATGAGCGTTTGTAAGTGGAACGGTGTGTGAGTTGGTGCAGCTAGCTGCTCTCAGGCACAGCTGAGTTTGGGTTAAATATTGGTTTGTCTTAACATTGACCAATTTTTGCGTTATTTGTGTAATATAAGCTGCTGCAAACAGTTTTTTTGTTTAGCTTTATTAGCTGACTTTCACTTACCATCTATCTGACATTGTTGACCGGAGTAACCCGGCTTGCATCTGCAAGTCACTTCGTTGTCCTGCAGGAAACAGGAGTCGGTGGTATCTTCACGGCAAGGACAGGCGACGCAGCTGCCATAGTTGTCCTTGTAATGTAGTGGTTCGCACTTTTCGCAGGAGGTGCCCGAGTAGCCGGCTGGGCAGGCACAGACTTCTACCTCGATGGCTTGTTGTGCATCGGGTGTGCGATGCTCGACGGCCGACTCCAGTGTTACATCGCGTATGCTTGTGCGTGTTGTTGGTATCTTGGGTGTGGCGCGTATAAGAATGTGTTCCAAGTTGGATAGCACGTTCATGAAGTCCAAACGTCCCGCATTTACAGAGCGACCGAACTCTTTTCGTTGCCAATTTTCGTCTTCGTGCAAGCGTACACTGTATTCGCTATTATCTTGCTCCTCGCGTGGTTTTGACCAAACCAATTTCATGCCATTACCAATGAGTATAACATCACTGCCGGGTACACTGTTGCCGTAACTCTCTACATCCAGCCTGTATGATAGATGTCCGCCATATGAGTAGAGCTGATTGCCTAATACTGAGCCGCGTATGCTCCAGTACTTTTGTGTATACGAGTTGTAGTTGTAGGTGAACATGTTTGTAGGTATGTCAAAGCTTAGATTCTCCTCATCTACTATGCTTCCTTCATCATCTGTGAGCAGCGGTTTGTAGTTGAAGAAATCGACAGGTATAAGTTGGCGGTATAATACAGCTGAATTGCACTTTGTGCTCTTGCCAGAACAATAGCACTCCTCACAGCCATCGGGGTTGCGCTCGGATAGGCCATAAGTGCCCGGGCGACACTGATCACAGTATGTACCAATTACATTGGGCTTGCATGCACAATAGCCACTGCAGGAGGCGGTACCGTCGCGGTTGCAGTAGGCACATTCAACTGTCTGATTATCGGGCGCCGGTGGTGGGTAGGGCTCATCATAATCGGGCGAGCAGTCGTTTGGTGTACCACCGGAAGCATTGCCGACATAACCTGGAGCACAGCGATCGCAGAATTCACCAGCGGTATTGTGTTCGCAGTTCTATAATGGAGAATATAAACATTTATTACATGTATGTATATTTCTTGTGTGTATTTAGAGTTGGCAACTTACGATACATGTGCCAGACTCGGCGTCGCATTGGTCTGAGTGGCCATTACATTCGCACGGAATGCAAACGCCTAAGTAAAGTCCTCCTTCGCTGAGACGTTTGTAACCAGGCGCACAACGCTCACAAGAAAGTCCTATATAGCCAACTGGGCAGCGACATTCTTCCACTTCGTAGGCACGTGGTGTTCCGATATTATTCGATGTAGCAATATCCAGTGAAACTTGCGTTAATTGGCCGTCTTTGGTGCTGGTGGTGTAGGTGGCCTTGATGTAGATCGCATCAATTTTCGAAAGTGCCATCAACAAGTGTTCACGATTGACCACTTGGCCATCAGGACGTTGCCAGGCGCTTTCAATGATCGGCACGGAGTACGAGCTGGGTTGGCTGGGGTTCACACCGGCTTTGCGGTAGTGAATAATAGTTATATCCTCACCCTAAACACAATATATTAAATTATTTCGTTTTATAGAGCAGTTGGCTTTAATTTTTACTTACGCTGATGACAACATCGGGTGCTGTGTTGCGGGACATAAGTCCACCTGGCAGTGGGTTATAGCTGAGATTATACGATAGTTTGCCACCATAGGCGGTAATCTTGTCACCAAGGAATGGTGCAGGTAGGCTCCAATATAGTGGGTCGGGAGACAACTGTTGGCTGAAAGTCAAAGCGCTATTATATTGTTGGAAATTAACTTGAGATGGCTGAGCGGCTTTGTAGTCGCGAATCAACTCGAAACCATGTGGGGCGCTTGAACGTCCAAAGCTCGAAGAAATCTGATCGCGGTACCAGCTGCTGCTGGAACATTGCTTTGTCAAACCGCTGCAGAAGCATTCGATGCAACCGGTGTATGTGAAGCTGTTCAAATGGAAGGATTCGGGAGCACAGGTGTCACAACGTGGACCGATAACTAACGGCTTGCATTCACATGTGCCGTTAGGATGTGGATAGTAAGTGCCCTCAGCGTTGCATGTGCTCTCTGGAACTGGATGGCAACTGCCGCCAGGAATCAGCGGATTGCCTTGATAACCAGCAGCACAGATCTCACAGCGTCGGCCAGTGTATCCTTCGAGACAGTCGCAAGTTACGTCGCCATCGGGACTCAATTGGCAACCGCTGGCAAAGTTGCTTGAACCAGTTTGTGGACATGGGCAAGAACGGCATGGTATGCCACGAGCAGGGTCACCATAGGTACCTGGTTGGCAAGGCTCTGGTACGAAAGGTACGCAGCGGCCCAACCAGGGACCATATTTCTCACGCACATAACCAGGAGCACACGACTCGCAAGAGTCACCAATGTAGCCAGGTGGGCAGACACATTTCTCGACCAACGAAGCTGAGCCTAAGCCTTGATCATCAAGACCAGCCGAGTCCATAACGATGTTTGTAAGTTCAACCTCACGTTCTGTAGCATCAATGTAGCTCAAACGGATGAGAATGTTGTCCACATTAGCGAGTACCATCATGACCTCACCACGTGTTGCACGACGTCCATCAGTCTTGTACCAATTACCAGGACTAAATTGTACCGAAATCTTGTTCTTCACATTCGGCTCTGGTTGATTGTGCACGCGTTGTGTTAGCGTAAGACCATTGCCAGTGATTATAACATCGGGTGCATTGTTGGCACGTCCATTGCCCATATAATTGACTTCATAGCGCAGATAGCCACCATAAGATTTCAACTGATTGCCCATATACTCATTAGGCAGTGCCAAGTAAGGCTGTTCACGACTGTTATATCCCACATCGGATACGCGGAACTGCACACCATGATGACGACTGAGGATATTGGGAATTGGTGCATCATTGATGATAATGTCACCATACGGATTCAATTCTACATTCTTGACCTTGTGCGAAGAAATTGGTGGTTGAATGGCAAAGTTAAAGAGATTGGCACTCTTGCAAATCTTGGATATGCCAAAGCAGAAACAGTCGATACATTCATCTGGACGACGAGCGAGCATATTAAAGAAGCCAGCTGGACAGACATCTGCGGTTGTCAGAGTGTCGACTGTCACTTGTGTATCAGGTGTAACGAAAATGCGTCCTTTCGGGTTGAGTATTTCGCAAGAGTAGGCGCCTTGGTCTTGTGATTCCATATTGGGGCAGTATAGTGTAGCTGTGCCGCCATAGTTCTTCGTGACACATTTCTCGGGCACGTGACCCCAGTTCAGGCGCCAAACGATAAGTGGTACTGGTACACCGGTGCCAACACAAGTAATATTCAAGGGTTCGCCCGATTGTAAACGTACACTTGGAGGCGGTGGACGAATTGGGGCAGGAGCCACTGAAAGTAGTAAAGAAAAATGTCAAAATAAAGTGCTATGCAGACAAGTTTTAGTGAACTTACTGCAGCCGATTTCATCGCTACCATCCTTACAATCATTTGTGTCGTCACACTGGAAGTTTTTGGGAATGCAATGACCGCTGCGACATTGGAATTCATCGTAGCGACATGGTGCACCACTTGGCTCGGGGTCGCAACTGTCCTCATCTGAATTATCGAAGCAATCGTCTTCGCCGTCACAGCGCCAGATGCGATCAATACAGCGCGAGTTGCGGCACATAAACTGATTGGGCTGGCATTTAAGACCATGACTGCAACTCTCCTCATCGGAACCGTCCGCGCAGTGCGGAGTACCGTCGCAAATTTGTGACTTATCAATACATTGGTTGTCACGGCAGGTGGCCTGGTAGGCACGGCAAGCTGTCGGTGGACGTTCGTTGTCGGGATTCACTGTGGATCAAGTAAGGAAGGCAATGTCAAATAAAATGACCATAAAATACTAGTTTACGTGTGTGGAGTTATGTTTACCGGCGCATTTTTGGAATGTGAAGTCCAGTGTTATGGGTTATTTAAAAAATAGAACAGTAAGCAGATAAAAAGAGGTTTTTTTTTAGGGTAACTGATAAACAAACACTGCAGGAAAATGTACCTAAACCGAAAAACTCTGCACCGATATGCGGCACTGTGCCGTATCTGATTTTAGGCGAGGATATGTGGTACTTGTTATCATTCCACGCTGCGTCCACAAGTTGGTAAATGCGGTTGTAAATAAATAACTAAGCTTATTTGGAAGCTGGTAGAAACAATTACTTACATTTCTCCACTGTCAGATGTACGGTTACTTGTTGTCCAGAGACATGACGGGGATAGCCTGCAGCCTCGCAAATATATTGACCGGAGTCTTCAACCTAAAGGAATACCGGTTAATTTTGCGCATACAAATACGAGTTTAATTAAGTGATGTGTGATTTATTGCGCTACTTACGCGGATGTTGGGTATTTCCAGACGACCATCGCCATTGTCTCGTGAGCCGATCGGTAGAGGACGACCACCAGGGCGTGTCCATTTGACGCGTGCGCGCAGTGGGCCTTCGTCACGGCAACGGAAGATAACCTCGCGACCTTAACAGTGTGTTAAATATGAAATGGTATTAGAATAAACGATTTGATAGTAGAGTTTGTGTTGTGGGTGTCTAGCATTCAGTGCGACTGTGTTCTATATGGTACAATGTGGACACTTTTTTGGCTAGCTATACAAAATCCAATTCATGGAGAGCGTTGCAAGTGGTAGGGTAGGCATTTAGAGTTTTATAATATTATATATGTAAACTTAAGTGTGTGTGTGTATAATTGTATTTACAAATCGAATACAAAAGTGCATTTGTATACGGTTGCCATTTCGTGCGGTGGCCACTTGGACGGGGTCTCATACAGCAGAAGTATGCAAATTGCATACACAATTAAGCATTAAAATAAAGCCGACTTACCCTCCTTAATATATCCTGTGTTTCATTGCAAAGTTTTTTTTTTTTTAATTTACAGATTTTAATTTCGAATTTGGGGAATAAAAGCGGAATATAGTATAAAAAGCAAGAATTATTCGAAATCTAAGTACGCGCAATATGGTTATTGCATCGAGAGTAGTCGAGAGCGTGAAGCTGCGCAGAAAAGTCATTTTTGACGTTTAAAAAGCCTTCACGCTAACGGCACTTCGATATTATAACGGTATTTTGTATAAGCAAATTAATCAAATTGTTGCGTTGTGGCTAAAAATTGGCCGCATACTCACTTTCTTTGATGATCTGGCTATCGGGGTATGTTTTCAAGTTCAATTCTGGATTTGAGGCTGGAAAATCTACAGCTCCTGTGAAAAAACAAAGCTTGAGTTAGGCGTACACTTTATAAATAATAATACAAATAAGTAATGAACGGTGTATGTGCTTGTGTATGAGTTAAGTGGAGAGAACAAACGACTTTCAGCATAGACTTTTTATTATTTGAAAAACTTACTTTTTTTGTGTAGTTAAGTGAGTGGTTGATTAAATAAGTTATGGGGCCAAATCAAAATTATTAGTATGCAGATTTTTCAAGCTCACTGTATGTTTATACCGCCGCTATATTGCCTAGCCATTGTTAATATTTACTTATTTCATTATACTATGTGCGACCGGCACCCTAAATTACCGTTCAACATAAAACTTACGCTCAATCTCATTTGAACTGGGATTGCAATCCAGCTCATCGCTAATATCAAGCGGACAATCGATTACGCCGTTACAGCGCAACGCATTACGTATGCACGGACCGTTCTCACAACGAAACATGAGCGTACCGCACGCCTTGCTAGCTCCTTCGAACTCCAGTTGCGGTTCGCGCAGATATTCTGTGTGTCAGTTCCGGTATGCAAGCACGAATTATTTACGTATGCGTTTAGGTATGTATGCAGTTGTCGATAGATGAATGTATGTGGCATTATGTGTAAGTATGTAAAGTGTTTGTAAATGTATTATATATAAATGAAGCAAGTGATAAAAGTGACAGTAATAGTTAAAAATACACAGCATGTACTCACTGCACGAAATCTCATCGGAGCTGTCCGCGCAATCGGTGTAGCCATCACAGCGCGCCGCCGCATTTATGCACTGTCCATTGTTGCAGCGGAACTGCGAGCCGGAGCAGGGCACAACATAGGGCGGCTCAGCGCAGTCCTCCTCGTCCGAACCGTCGCGGCAGTCCTGATAGCCATTGCACTGGGCGTTACCCGAAACGCAGTCACCATTGCGACAACGGAACTGATTGGCAGCGCAACCTGGTCGAGAGTGAATTGAAACAGTAAGAAATTAATTTGAGCCGCAGACAGTTTGTGTGGCGGTACAACGTAACTAGTATACTGGGGGTACGCTTAAATAGTTGCTTGCTTTAAGAGAGTTTGCTAAATTGCTGGGGCAACAAAAAAATAAAATTTTACAAATAAATAAAGTATATACAATATGTCTATGACTAACGGCTTTGCATGCGCCAGACCGCTTGCTGTAGCGGATAAGAGTATTTAGCAGAAAACATATGTGGGTACAATTTGCATGCGCCTACACTTAAGCTATGTTTGAAAGTTGAAAATAAGTTGCACTAAAATAAATTATGCTAGCTTACAGCTAAAACATAATTAAAATATATCTAATATAATATAAGAAAATATAAATTTAATAATAATAAACTGCAACGCATACAATATAAAATAGTAGAACTTTAGCTAAAAATATTAAAAAAATGCAAGCAAAATAATTTGAAAGTAATGCTTGTATTAACCAATGCAATTTTGCTCGTCGGAGAAATCTTTGCAATCGTAGTAGCCGTCGCAACGTTGCGTCTCATTTATGCAGTACTGACGATCAAAGCAGAGAAACTCATTCTCCTTGCAGGTGGTGCCTTACAACGGATTAAATAATAGTTGGTTTTTTTTTTTTGTATTTTTTGTTTTTTTATAAAAGAGGTGAATAGATAGATTGAGAATATTTGCATGTTGTTGCGTGTTGTTGCAAGAAAGAAGCGTAAATAAATGTTAGGCGCTCAGTAATTGTGCGACAGCAGCAGTTTCTAGAAAGATTGCCCAACCGTTTTACTTTTTCTTTAGTAAAGCTTGCATAAGGTAATCGTAAGCGCCAGTAATTAATATTGGCAATGAAAACCTTTCTAAAAATTGCTGCTGCGCAAAGCATATGCACAGTAGGGTGGAGCGAACATTTTTTTTTATTTTTTTTGCTTGGCCTGAGGGTAAAATTTGTAGATTATAAAAAAAGAAAATTTTTTTTTAACATCTAGAGGCTCACTCACTTTTAAAGTAAATTTCAAGTTAAAATTTTTGGGAAAAAAATTTTTTTTTGGTTTAAACTATTTACCTTTATATAAAAATTACCGAACGGTAATTTTACGTTTTTTGACTCAAAATTTATTTTAACGCTTAAGACTTGTTTTAAAACTCCAATAATGAGCACAAACTTTTGTTTTAAGTTGATAAGTTTTAATTAGCCAGAAAGAGGACTCTCCGCAGCTTCTAGAACACTTATTAAAATTTTTTTACAAAATACAAATTTTAACTCGAAATTTTCTTTAGAAGTAAGCCGCCTTTAGATGTTAAAAAAATTTCTTTCGCTCCACCCTAATGCACAGTTACATAGCAGTAAATATAAAAGTTCTTATGTAAAGGCTGATGAGAAAACTTATTACAAAGTGCTGCTAGAGTAATGACAAAAGCTGCGCACACAAAGTTGTTTAATGGTGTGTGTAAAGAAAGCAGGTGAATATAAATATATGACAGTAATGTGCCGCGTAATGAGGAGAATTTTGAATTTTGTTAAGCAAATGAAGTCGTGTGAAAGTCGACGGTCGGTGCTTTTTTAACGAGGTTTGTAAGTTGACCAAAAAACAACAGAGCTTTGGTTTTATTATATTATATTATTGCTAATTCGCTCTAATGGGTTAGGGACATGCGACCAACTATTGCCCAACACGATTTGTCGAGCTTGCTGGTTACCGAGAGCAGTTCCAAATATGTCGCAAATGTGAGATGAGCCTTATTGGCGACTGTAGTCGTTTTGTTTACTGGTAGACCTTAGTACGTCGCTTAGTTTAGCATTTTCTTTCTCATTTTTGTTATATCATGGAATATTATCGAAAAATACTAAGCGTAATACATTTCAACGCCGCTTTAACTTAACACAAACTAGACTTTCCGTTTTGCGTACAACAGCACTCTAAATTCTAAACTCTATAAATCTGTTTAATACTTTTAATTTTTGGCGGAACCTCCGCACCTAGACCACAATTTGAGCGAGGCTCGAACAAATATCCATCTAAATGTAGACGTTACGACCAGTACATTATCGGGATTTTTATCGGAGCGTCAGCGTGTACGCCATAATTTAGTACATTTCGTAAATTTGTAAGAGTTACAACTTGGCCGCAATGGCCACTTTTGTGGAGCTTTTAAATCTGAAAAAAAAACCCGACTTTGCTCAAAGTGTTGCCACGCAAAGCCTCTAAGCTTTAGAGATTTAAAAATAAAAAAATCAGCGTTTGCGTGTATTTTCAACGGGAAATCTTTACACGCCTTGGTCCAGTGCTTAAAATTAATATTAAGGGCTCAAACTTTCAGTGATTTCTTTTTGGGTATTGCCAACAAAATTTTACGATGGACCGAAAAAAAATTTAAAAAATAGCACCTAGTATATCTATTTGAAAAGTCAGCCTTAGGTACAAAATATAGCAGAGCTCATTTGAGCTTAAGAAAGCTACATCTATTAGGCTAGCTCGAAAGCTTTTCAGCCGTTAGGTTATGGTCTATTCTATTCAAGTTTTGATTTTATGCCGCTGGTTGAATTACGCTCTTTTTCGACTTCATTTGCCTACATAAAGTTCAATGCCGATTTTCACATAGCCGATTTGTGTGCAGTTTTACGTAAAACGAAGAAAAACTAGTTTATACTCGGTGCATACGAGATATAGAAGTGTGCTCGTGAGATATACCACTCGTGTTTAAGCAGCAGCGCTCGGGAACAGTGTGCACTTACAATTTGCCTCATCGGCGCCATCGTCACAGTCGCGTGAGCCATCGCAACGTTCACTCTCCGAGTAGCATTTGCCGTTCGGACATGTATGTATCGGGCATGGGTAGCTGGGCAATGGGCGTGGTCGTGTGGGCGGATATGGTGTACAGTTTAGCTCGTCGCTGCCGTCCGTGCACTCTCTAACATTGTTGCAACGTATCGAGTCCGCATGACATTCGTCGTCGCAAAAATGCTGATCGGCCGTGCAGTCCTCCGGTGTGTGGCGCGTTGCAACTACAGTCGTGTGAAGGTCGTTCAAAAGCGTAGCAAGCGAGGTTGATGAGTGGTGGCGATATGGGAAAGCATATTTGTCGACACACATGCGTATATGCAGTTACGCAGCGAGAGAGAGAGAGAGAGAGAGAGAAATGCAAAATGATTTGGATTAGTGGTTAATATGGTTTGTATGGCAGCGCTGTAAGTGGAACGGTTTTCATTAATGCTTGTTGATGGCAAAACTGTGAGTTCTTTACATTAATTCACATAAAAACATATTAAGGCGAAATATACATAAATTATTATTAAATATACGAACACATATTGTTCAAAGGACGATGGCATAAAAAGTTTTGTGATTTATTTAGAATTTTTGTTTTTGCTTGTGCTGTTACCCTTTTTGCTGCATTGCCTGGGCGACTCGTCCGATCCGTCTATGCAATCGACGCGCCCGTCACACAGATAATCTTTGTTTATACACTGGTAGTTGCCGCACTGCCACTGGTAGGCAAGGCAGGTCTTATTCGACACGTACGCTATTAAATCGTTTTCATGTTCTGTGCCTATGTACAGTTTTATGTTGTTGTTGGCGAAGTCGGTGTTTAATTTGGTGAACATTTACAATAATGAATAATGAATGTAATGTGTTGTTGTTATTGGTTTTGTTTTTTTATTTTTTGAATGATATTTAGTTTTCCAGCATAGAAACATAAATTACACGTTGAAACAGTTGAAACGATAAAAAAACATTGAAAATGAACACAAGTGCGGTTATGTGATGTGCCAAGTTTTTATGAAATTAAACAAAAAAAAAATTTTTTTAAATATATTTATATACAAACATATAAAGAGTAATAAATGAAATCAAAAGTAAATAAATAAGCAAAATGTATGAAGCGACAGTGGCAGTTAGTGAGAGAGTAGGGTAGAGCTTTCGATAAGTGGGCAAATTTGGAATGAAGACTTTTTAAACTTTTTGAAGCGCTCCACACTTTTATGCGTTGTTGTTTAGACGCGATGATATTATTAGATTTAAAACAATTTCAAAACACACGCACTCTGCTAAGAGCCAAATGTGCAAAAATGTGTAAAATATTTTACAATTGAAGAAACCAAGCCAAAAATTCAATATGTTTTTAGAAAATTTCGAAAACGTAGGTGGACCAGTTAGCTTTCAGTTAAAAAGCTGCATAGCCACATTTTGAAATAGTATTGTGAGTTTTAAACAAAAACGAAATTTGGCGAGAGACAATCAAAGTAGTGGGCACATTTTAGATATTTTATCAAAATATATTGCAGAATTCTAAACAAAATGAAAATTAACTCAATATACAATATTACCAGCTAAAGAATGTAAGCTTGTGAAGAACATTAAAGTTTACAGCACAATTTTGTACTATAAGTAAGTAATAAATTTTTGTTTACGAAAAAGCTTGCGGAAATGATTTTCCAATTTAATTTTGCTCAATTATTCACTTTTCTTAACTGAACATTAAATTTTTTTCGTTACCAGCGCAGTTTTTTTCATCTTGTTCATCGTCGCAGTCAATTTTGCCATTGCAATACAGACTCCAATCGACGCAGGTACCGTTACACAGGAATTTCAGTCGTGGACATTCGATTTTTGCCGTTACAGTTGCTCGTTCTTTAACATTGTTGTTGCGTGCGAGTGCATGAAACAGGTTTGCATAATTGAAATATATAGTTGTCTCGGCATATAGTTACAATAAACGTACTGTGACTTAAGAATTCACGTGAAAATTTCAAAACTTTCATTGCTACACTAATAGACTACTAAAGTGACAAGCTGAGAGGCTTGGCGTAATTGTGGCATGAGACTACACACTAAAGTTGCAGAGAGTGCATGCAAATAGTTATGTGACGCATAAGCAGTGGGAAGCAGTAAGGTGTGGTTATATAGTCAAAGATATCGTATTATATAGTAACTACATATGTTTTGTTTTGTTGTAACACGTTAGAGAATGTTAGCATATTAAAGAACTAAGCAACTGGTTCAAAGCCATTGAGTAGTGATCGATTTTGGCGCACGTAAACTAGCTGAAAACTTGTAGATGGCGCCTGAACGCTCACTTCCAGCACTTACCGCAGTTCTGTTCATCGCTGGCATCGATGCAATCGGGATGACCGTTGCAGCGCTGTTGTGGCAAAATGCATTCGCCGGTGAGGCAGCTGCATGGTCAAGCAAGCAGTATTGTGGACAGTTGGTTTGTATGCATGTAATTGGTTGTATGATGATATGTTGCATGTTGTGAAATGGTTGTGTTGTGGTGTGTATGTAATGTTGCGTATGTGGTTGTTGTGATATGTTGTAATGGCGTTGATGAGCGCGCATAAAATGTTGCATATTGTCATTAATAAAATATTTCGCAGCGTTTAGTAATAAGCAATATTTGTTGGATAGGCGTTGAAATACATAGTAAGCTTTGCTTTTGCTAATAGCTTGTGTGAAAGCTCATCATGTGTAGAAAATATTAAAGTTCTACGTTTGCATATGAAAATTTTAATGTCATCAGTTCATACTTAGCACACAGAATGCAAATTAAAGTAGGAAATGTGAAAACTTTTTCAAGAGCTTTCATCGTTTATTTCAAAAAAGCTTTTACATAACTCTGTAGTCAATTGAAAATTTCAATGTAATTCAATTTTCAGAACATAAATTAAACTAATAAATGTTAAAGCTTTTTCAATAGAGCCTTCATCGTTTTTTGAAAAAAGCTTTCAAATAACACTATACTCATTTGAAGATTTTGATGTTATTCATTAAACATCAATTTAAAGTAGGAAATGTGTAAGCTTTTCCAATAGAGCTTTCATCGTTTATTTCAAAAAAGCTTTTACCCAACTCTGTGGTCATTTCACAAAAATCGTTAATCAAATTGGAAACTTTTCACAGAAAAGCTTTTTTGTTTATGTACAACTTAGTGAAAGCTTGTAGCGTAGTTCTAATACATCGTAATAATTACTAGTAATTTGCATACAGTAATTTTCATATATTCAAACAATTATTTTCAACTTCAAGGCGCATCCAACAAATATCACTGTTATCCAGGAAATTGTTGTCTTACAGAAAAGCTTTGTCGCGACAAAATGTGCAATTTTGCTCATCGGTTCCATCATTGCAATTGACTATACCGTTGCATTGTTGATCGCGTAGTATGCAATAATTTTCATCGCATTCGAACTCGTTTTCGTGGCAATGCTCTGTGAATGTATGAATGAACGATTGATTGATGTAAACAAAAATGAAAAATGTCAAAAAATTAAACGGGTTTAATAAAAAATTGGATAGCATGCTCTTAGTGAATGTTTGAATTTAAAATTTATCAGAAAATATGGTATATTGTT